ACAAGATAAATCCAATAAACAGGCGAATTTTAAAGGAACATAGAAATATAGAGCATTGCTAGATGAAATTTCAATGACAGTGCTTTGTACTGAAATAAACACAGCTTACTTTCAGCCTCAAATAATACATTCTTCCTAGAATAATCTTTCATTCCTCATAACTCCAGACCTAATTAACCAAATTTTAATCGTCTGGAATTATAGCTAGGCAGAGTATCGAAGCTTTGTTCAAAATTCCTTAATATTTCCACCCCCCAATCTCAGCTTTCTAGACAACAATGAGCCTCTTTGAACTAGCTGTCAGATCCCACCTAATGCAAGGAAGAGTGTTCCTTTGGGGCAGGCATGCTAACAGGATCCTGCAAGCTGGCTCCGAAAGCAACAGGCTATGCTTGCTAATGAGAGACAGTTCTATAGCATAGCTCTTTGTCTGGGGTTTCTGTTACATCTAATAACTGCATTCCTTCTCGGAAAGTTTGGGTGCAGGAGTATGGCCGCATATCTATTTCATTTAGACTAGACAATGGCAACAATCCCACTCACAAAAACCAACCCATGTATTCCATAATTGAACCATGTGCAATTTTAACTAACAATAGCTAGTAAAATTTCAATACAAATTAGTAGCAATGGTGATGTAAATCATAATAGTTAAGAATTCTGCCTGATGAGCTACTTGTGCAAACCCGTAGTTTACAAGCTATTATTTCATTCAAAATAAATACCAACTTAGTTTTAGACCAAATTTGGAGTTTTTATTTCTACTTTCTCTCATAATTCTCATGCAATTGGATATTAAAATAGCCTATACTCATTCTTTGAAAACCAATACAGCAACAATGCATTTCCATCTATTTAATGGCCCAAATAGAATCCGATCTGAAAAGGAGCCTTTGAATAATGATATATAAGTAGTGTGCCAATGTAAATCAACCCATTTCTAAGCTCCTAGCCAATGTCAGATTATCCTTTTGGTTTGCTGTAATTTCCTTAACATATTTACCCTGGAAATGGATACCTCTCAGTCACCTACTACTGATAGTACCATGAATGTCCACTTACTCAACTCACATTTGTCTTTTTTACTTATAGACAGTTGACAGGCAGAACTTCACTTTTTTCACTCAGCCTTCAAGTCTACATATAAAAGGAAGGCTTGATTTAAACTAAAAGTCTGCAGAAAACCATGGTGAATTCTATACTTTGCTGGCAAGGTAATCCAGGGTCAATTCCTGGACAACATTCAGTTGACAAATGATTTACAGCAGGGGTGGGCAAACTTTTTGGCTCGGGGCCTCATTGACTTTTAAAATTTGACAGACGGGCCGCCACCTGGTGTCGAAATGCCTGTCATTACAAGTCAAAATAAAATGAATGCAATCATTCAATCATTCACATCAAACCTTAATTCTGTACCAATCTTCGGCGGGCCAGATTAAAAAGACCAACGGGCCGGATGTGGCCCCCGGGCCGTAGTTTGCCTACCCCTAATTTACAGCATACTTTCAAATCAGATGTAAAGCAAATACTCTTAGAAGCTTCCATAAAACTATGTTTAAAATCAACAGTCTGACTAGTTCCGGGATTAAGTTTAGTAGCCGGAAGCTAGTTCAGAAAATTTAAATGGGGGAATCCTATTTCTCTGCAAACTCATTTAGAAGCGAACTACAATATTTAAAGCAAGTTCAGACAACATGGTAGCTTGAAAGATTGCAGCATTTTCAAAGATAACTCAGTCTTCCTCATTTCAAATTTTTTTTTTAAATAAATTTTTTATTAATTTTCAATAAACAAACATACACAAACAAAACACAAAACATGAAAACATAAAACTTCTTTTTGGAAAGCGGCTTAGTCCTGGGTTACATCTTTTTGTACAGACTTAAATCAAATTCATGCTCACTTTATATACCATTTCATATCTTATTTACCATTCTACATTTTCTATATAGTTTCTCCCCTCTTTTCACTCTCTTAATTCTATTTTATTTATTTCATCTCAATTTAAATCATTATGCTTGTATCTTTTGTCTGTTCTACTTCAATTATCTATCTTTTCTCATTAACACAAAATTTCTCCTGTAATCACTGATTGAAGTATGACGCCTTTATATCTTTCCCCTAAATTTAACACTTAAAATAATATATAATTTTCATTCTGATTCTGCTTAGTACATTCTAAAGCTACGTATTATATTTTAAAATAGGAAAATAATAAGTTTATAATATAATTAAAACAATAATCCATAGCAAATTAAACTCTATCATTAAATCTTAAGCATTTTACACATTTCTTTTAATATTTTATCCCATTTCATAATCATATAATGTTCCAGTTTTCTAACATTATTTCAAATACAAATACAACAATACAGTATTATGTACTTTTGCAGAATCTTTTTTAATCGTATTTTTACCCATTAGCTCTAGAATAAATCCTGTTTCTTTACATCTTGTTTCAAACCTTTATAACTTCTCTTCCCTTTTTCCCTTCCTTTCTTCTCCAATCTAGCCTTTTTACCCCCCCGTCCCTTGATCTCCACCCTCTTAATCTCCACCCTCTTCTGTATTCCTCTTTTCTGTTGCTTTCTGACATTGTACCGATTTTTCACCTTATTTTTTCCCTTTTTTGGTTGTTTTTTTAAGTCTTAAATTCTCCATTCTCTTTCCCCTCTTTCCCTTTTCTTCCTCAGCTAAACTTGTTTGTTCATTAAAGATGGCTTCTTCTTCTTCATCCCAACCGTCTTGTTCTTGTAATGTCTGATAGGTAGAAATCGCCATTTCTAAAAAATGAAAAACAGATCCAGAAGAGCCCTTCCCTTCTTGTTCCTCTTCTTTTAGCTTTTTAAATTCCATTTTCAGTTCATCAACAAGTAATGCCATTGTGAAAAAATTTTTTAAACAACCCAAATGATTTTAGTCTTTCAAATAATAATTTCCAAAGGTCCTAAAGTCACCAAGCAATCCAAATACACACAAACTGTTTCATTTAGCACTTTCTTCTTTTTATACTTTCTCTTCCTGGGGTACAGTTCAATTGCAAAGTTCCAAAATATATCTTTTAGAAGTCTTGTTACAATTTAACTCTAGTCTTATAAGTTCCAAGCAGTCTCCTCCAGCAAAATCTTAATATTAATTCTTTTCCTCTCCCTTCCCACTTATAGCAAAAAAAATTTTTTTTCTTTCTTTCCACTGTTCAGAAATCTTTAATGTCCCCTTGGCTTTAATTTTCAAATTTAATTACCTGCTGGTACCAAAACAGATTTTTCCGATTTCCATCTGCTATCACCATAAGGAAGGAGAGTGAGAAAAAACAAACTTTCCCTTTTAACTTTCATCCACTGCTTTTTCCGATCTTCTTTGGGAATGATGTATCTTTAATTAAATTAAAATTCCAGGGTATTTAAATGTTACTTATCCCGGTCAGCCAAAAACTTTCACTTCTCACTTTCCTCCTGCACATTCTTATCTGGATGAAAGCTTCTTTGTGGCGGCCATTGCTGGCCGCCGTTCTACCGCTTTCGGAAAAGGGAGTTAAGCCAGCTGAGGAGGGGGGTTGCGATTCCTACGGACCCCTGCTGGATCTCCCCTGTCTTCAGTTACCTCTACAGGGTAACTATTAGCCCTCAAATCTGGCTGGATCAGGGGCACTCCAGTGGCGAGCACAGCAGAAACCATGCACAATCATGGATTCCTGCCACCGCCGAAGCCTTGCAAACCAGAAGTCGAACCTCATTTCAAAAATTCTTAATATTTCTGTCAGAGAATTGCTCTTCCAAACAGGTCTAAAAATTCTAAGCACTTAATCACGAATAGATCTCAGTTATAAGTATGTAGAAGATTAGATTGTAAGATTTGAGCTGCCTGTTACCAGGGAAATTATTTAGTAAATCTTCTCCAGCCTTTATAGATTTGTTGTAACCAGGGGTGGCCCACTGGGGGTTCATAGGGATTCAGGAGATCCTCTAGCTAAGATTCTGCACAGTTCAGAGAACCCCCAAATCCCACCCTGCTCCACCCTTCCCAGGAATCCCCGCACAGCCTGATTTGGATGCAGGTAAGTGCAAGGTGCATATGGAGGCATGGGGAGGGCAAAAAATGGGCCTCCTGGAAGTTCAGAAGGCTGGAAATGAACCCATTTCTGGCTTCCACAGAGCCTCCGGAGCCTGGGGAGGCTCAAGGAAAGCCTCCAGAGTCTGGGGAAGGCAAAAACAACCCCACAGAGTGTTGCAGGAGGCCGACTAGGCCACAGTCACCATGGCCATGCCCACTCAGGAATCGGGCAGAGAATCCATTACTAAAATTTTTGAAGCCCTCTGGTTGGAACTAAACTCCCAGAAAACACAGCTGGAATGAGAAATGTGAAGTGTCACAGGTTGGGGAAGTACAGTTTAGGATTTTTAATATTAAAATGTTGTGTTGCAGATTTCCTTAAGATAGACACACCTATGGAATGAGCATAATAATGCATCTATGCAATCAAGAAACAGTGAAAAATCATTTTCCACATCAGAATTTTATGAACATTTTGGAATCTCTTATTTTACAAATTTTTATAAGTTTTTACAAATGGGCAGGTTGAACTGTTCAACTATTCTGTATCTTTCTTTCTTTTTGAAAATTTTGAACTGCAAAATATTTGGCGAGCACTTTTCTCTTCCCAGGCCCATCACCTCTCCTTCAAAAAGTGTTACTAACTGAAATTACCCCTCCATGTTAGACTAGAAACAATACAATGGGCATCACAAATATCAGAAAAGTTTGATACAACTTTTAAATATCCATTCTAAGAGTGGAGTTTATCTTTCAGTGACTGGAAAGTTTTGGATTAATTTTAACAGTAGCCTTCTCCCTTCAAATGGTATACAAATCTTGTTTAGATTTTTTTTAGAAGATCTGAAGTAATAAAGATGAAGAATAACCATTTATTTATTGAGAAAGTTCAGTTTAAGTGATCTACTCAATTACGTAGCTCTTGTATGGAAGAATGCAAAAAAATGAAATGACAAAAATGAGATTTATTTATATGGTGGGAATTTTTGACAGTGCATGTATTTTTATATTTATATCATTGCCTTCTTAAGATATTAGTTGAGTTCCATTGAGAAACCAAATGAGAATAAGTTATTTTATTTTTTCTTTGGTTTGTTTGGTTGTCTGCCAAACACTATAATCAAATACAGATATGCAATACTATCAAAGGGGTAAGATTTTTTTTCATAAACTAAGATTTATAATCTAAATCCAACAACAAAGTAAGCATATGCAGTAAGTCTGTTTCAAATAGAAAAGTGTGAATTGAACAGATTTTAAAGAAAAATTTCCACACAGCCCAGAATTGATGGGTGTAGCACAAGTATAATAAAGAAGAAGGGGAAATAGTTATCTTATTTAATTTCAGTGTAGTTAAACTGCCCATATAATCTGGAGCCATAGATTTCAATGATTCCAGAGAAATGAATGTAGGCATGTCAGTGTTGTACTTTGGATGAAATAAATTATAAAAATGTTCCCTATGGAAGCAAACAATAACTGTAAAAATATTGGGCGTAATACATCTAGAAACTGAGTATTTCTAGATTCTTTAGAATGAGATCACGGCAATTTAAGCACATGGGACTTTAAAACTACTGTACTGTGATGGGAGCAAACAAAATGCTCTAGAACTCTGAATTTGTTTCCCGAAGAAAAAAGGATTCTGTGACTTGAGTATCTGGCCTTTCCTGCTTCTCTCATTTATTGTGTCCAACAGACTGATCCTATTGTCATCATGTACTTGTCAGCTGCAGAAAGAACTGTGTTGTTAGTACAGTCATGCACAGAAAAAACAACAGGACTAGATATTAAAGAATGCTTTTCAGCTTTGCAACAAACGAAGAAGAAAACTACAACACCAAGAACATGCAAACACTTGAAAGACTTGAAGAGACAGCTGTGAAAGCCGAACAAGAAACATCTCAACAAACTGAAATTTGCTCTTTGTCACTGTTAAAGATATCTCTTATAAGGAAACATCAAGGTATGGAATTCTCTCATTCATGCGCTAATGACAAACGCAGTCCTTTGAAGGACAGCAAGAAAATTATCTTGCTGTTTGGACTCCAACATTGATCCAATATATTTTAGGCACTCGGCAGTCATATTGCCTCTGGCACCACCTTCAATTCCCATTTAGCTGTTGCGCTTCTCTTTGTTTTCTTTCATTTGGGGACTAAGTTCAAATGCTGGGAAGCGAGACTTTTCTGGAACCAAGATGTCAGAAAGGAAATGGATAGCTCCTGCCATACCTGAAAAAGTAAGTTCAAAAAAAATGTGGCATCTTCATTCATAACTTTAACCAGGGCATGGTGGCAGATATTTTGCAGACAAACTGGACTAGTTTTAAATCAATCTTTTCCCATTAAGATGCACAGCTGTTAAGCAAGCCTACCTAAGACTAACAATTTTAATGAAGAGATCAAAGCTTGGAGAAAGAGTCAAAAACAACAATTGGCATCAAATATCTTCCCTGGAAACATAGTATCTACCAGTACCTTACTTTTTTATCTCTTAAAAAAAAGAAAATACAGTGCTGAAATCTAGTGGTATGTTCTTGGAAGAGTCTAATGAGTTTTTAAAAATAATCAATTCACAACTTGCCCATTGCAATCTTATGCTGATTAAGATACATGAGAATCCATGCAAGAGCTCTTCCTAAGTTGATTATTTAGTAAGTAAGTAAATGCTCTAGAGGAAGACTATTTTCTCAACCCTTTTCTGTCAGGATTTAGTCTCAGGGCTGGAATGGAAGTAGCATTATTGTTCTGGTGCATGAAGTATGCCAATATCTGGGTGGAGGGAAAGTGTTCCAGGGTCTCAACAGAATTCATTACCATTTACAATAATATCCTTCTGGATATCTATTGAGAGATAAATCCTTTCTATAATGGATTTATATTATTCTGAGTGGTAGATAGTGAAGGTTGGCCCAATAGATATTCTCTTGTATAATGATCAAGGTTTGGTCATTTTCATCCTTTTTTTGACACCTACATTCAATCACCAAGAGAGTCTGTGGGAGGAGGTATCGTCTACTGATGATAAACAGTTATATATTTTCAGCTTGAGTCAAGTCAGAGATGCTATTGAGAGCTTGGCAACGTTTGTAGGGAAGGAACAAAATAGCTGAATTTAACGGAGAATGATTTATTGGAAAGGCTTTCTATCAGCTCTAGTTTTGATTTAATTTAAATTTAATGGGATGGCACTCTCTCTGAAAGAGCAAGTCTGCCAGATGAGGACTTGTAGCTGCTTCAGATGGGCAAGTGGAGACCACAGCCATAAGGTCTTTGAAGCAGAAGGCTGTGATGTCAGTAATTTATTCTCTTATCATCACACAGCTAGACCACTGCAAGGAGCTGCTTTGGAAGACCTCTTAGAAAATGTAGTTGATCAAAATACAGCAGCATGCTTGTTGATTGGTAGGGGAAAGGCACTATAGTCCTATGGACCTTGGATTGGCTATATTTCATCCTGGGGATGTGTTTTCTATGGAAAAATACAAGCTGCAGGATAGTCTGCAGTCTAAAAGAAAATGTGACAGCATATATTTATCTGGCATTGGGGCAACACCAGCATAAATGATCTTAGGAGAAAGGACCACTAAGCTCCATTGGACTTATTTTTGAGAAGGGAGAGATTTGTGCTTGTGAATTTTAATTTACTTCTAAATAAATCTGGAAAATATGGAGCCATTGAAAATAACATGATTCACTTAGGCCTTGTTAATTTCAATGAGTTGCTGTGTGATGGGGAAAGGGAATATAGTTGTATACTATCACCCACTTCAGTGATTTTCTACTTATTTGGATCTATGAAGTTGGAATTTTTTTCTCCAAATCCAAATCCATTTTTCAACCTGCTGCCTCCCAGAAATTTTGGATTAAAGTTTGGCAACTTTCCAGCCAGCATGCCATGGGAATGCTTGGGAATTCTAGGAGTTACACACCAAACTCAACTGAAATGCAACTCTTTGTTTAAGCATTCAAATATTCCATATTTACATTTCATATGCATTCTGTAATATAAAACCAAATATAAAACCAATGCTTTAAAGTTGTTATTCAGAGCTTGACAGATGTATTTTGGTTGAACCCCAATCAGTTTATCAGAAATTTACATACATGCCAAACCTGGCTTTATAGTCCTATAATGCAAATTTATGATTATTGAATAGAATTCAAAAAACAAGCTCTTGCCTTCAAACAATGAGTAGGGTCGGTCAGGAATACGGCATCCATGTGCACCGTAGTCTAGACACCATTCAGCAAACTGAGAAAATATGACAAATAAATAGGATGATTAGTACATTTCTTGTTAAACAATATACCTAAATAAATATGTAACTCTGCACTAACTACAGATTGTATAGTGATGTTAATCTCTATTAGTATTAACTCTAAAGAGAAAATGATCAACAGTTTATATAATGAGCTCTAGTGAGCAACAAATGAGCCACAGGTCATTAATTCAGAAATTCAACTGCTGAACAGAAGATAAGGTCCACCCCTAGTCTGGACCATCATTTTGTTATAAATTCAAATTAATATAAATTGTATTATCATTATCAACAACATCTTCATGCAAACTCTCGCTCCTTAATTCCAACATACCTCCACTAAAATGACTGAATAAATAAGGTAAAAACCTAATCCAGTTATCCTTATTGAAACTTTTTAAAGAATTGGCTTAATAAATCAGCTGTGATTCTTCATAGCCTCTATTACCAATTGCTAACTAGATTCTTGGCATTTTCTTTCATTTAAACAAACAAATCCAACCAAATTAAGTTTGCAAATATGAATTCCTGTGCTTACCTAGCCAAGCACCTTCAAGAGACTGGCAACAGGTGGAAAATAGAATATACTTGGCTGGTGGGGTGTGTGTGTGAGGAAAACTATGGGTGTGATCGAGAAATGAAATATAAAACTTTGGAAGGAAACATGGTTGGCTGGCAGCAGCCTAATTGCAGCTCTGAAACCAACAGTAAAGGGTTAGGGTTAGGGTTTTCTGTTGGTTTCTACAATAATAATAAATATAGATTCTGGGCATACAACTGCTTTCCTTACTATCCCTTTGGAAGACAATAATTTTAGCAGAGGGCAGTCAAATTCATTCTTTGTTTAATAAAAGTGAAAGACTTAAAAGAAAATTTTGATTACTGTGTTCAATGTAATTTTGCTTTACAGTATGAAACCCTTTCTGTTAGAAAACAAAGCGATAGTACTTTATTCTTCCCTGTTTGATTTGATTAAAGAAAAAGAAATCTGTCAGGAGGACATCAATAAGAAGAACAGGGTTTAGTGTTTCTCTAAAAGGAAAAAAGTACCTTGCAAGCTCGGTAAAGATACTTTTTATCTTGAGTAAGGTGATAGAGAGAAAGGAAAGAATAGCCATTTCCAGCAGTCCCATGACAGATTCCGTATCCTTTCCTCAACAACCCCCTTTGCCAAATGACATCACTACATTCCATAGCATCCTTCAAATATTTATCTTCCTTGAAAACCTGTGGATATCAAGAAGCATAAAATCAGATGCCATTCTTTGCCAAACCTTAGCACAAGCTAGGAAATGGTTTTATAACTACAGATAGTCCTCTAATTACAATTGCAATTGAGCTTGCAATTATAGTCATTAGCTATGAAGGTTTTTAAATGAGTCACCACATGACCATGTCTGATTTTGTGGTTGTCATTAAGTGAACATAATGGTTGTTAAACAAATTCATTCTTCTCTATGGGGTATTTTTTTTGCCAAAAGCTGGAAGTAAACATTGTTTTCTGGTTAAAAAAAAAAAAGCTCATTAATTGTGATTATGTGACCACAGGATGCTGCAAATGGAGATACTATAAAAGTGAGGCGCTGCTGAGTGTGCAAAATGTCACATAAGTTCAGGTGTTTCAAACTGCTTGCAAAAGCTCTATTCATGATTTAATTAGGGCAATCGCCAGAATCCTGACAGTACCATTATTCCCACAGCTATCTGGGCACATGAAGGGACTGAGGCTGACAAATTTAAAAACCAACTTCTTCGATGAGGTGAATTTTCAACTAAAGACTTCAAAGTTCAAATGTAATTTCAATGTTGTCTTCTCTCTCATCCCACTGTCTAAATCCAAATGGAAAGCTTCTCAAAACAAGATATATCTTCAATTTATAACATCAAATATAGATTTTGTATGTTCCAAGCTATGGAACCAATAAAAGAAACAGCCATATGAAGCTTTGGGTAAAACTTCATTTAAAACACAGTTTGTCTTAACTATGGTGAAGCAAGCATTGTAAGTTAATTCAATTTTAAGATTAACCTGACTAACTCACAGAATAATATAAACTGCATTACATTTTAGAAAGCAACATTACAAAGTGTTGGAAGAGTGGACAGTATGTGCTAGATAGGTTAATATTAAAAATCTGAAAAATTACTTTTCATTTCAAAGCACATATTTTTCTACTATCATTGTGTGGGTCAAACAAGGACGCACCGTATAAGCTTGCATGAGCATATGGATGACTCCAGGTGCCCCATGACACCAATGCACCAGCCTGTCAGTTTCATTGCTTAAGGATGAGGGATAATTCCCAGATCGGAATTTTTTATGCCGCACATAGTCAATGCTTGGTTTCAAAAGTTCCATCAATGTCTCCCGTTCAACATTAGCTGCTGGCTGCAAAAGCAAATAAGATTTTGTTTTTTTTCTTATCCAGTAAAAAAAACATTGTCATAAAAATTAAATGTTTTGATCACACATTTTGATGAACCTCATATCCATGTTGAAAATTTATCTTTATTTGGCTATCTTACAGTTAAAATAAATCTAAATTGCACTTTGCTCACTATGCATTGCTTTCTGTATTACAAGAATGTTAACAATATTAACAATAATATGAATCACTTGGCTTTGAGAAGTAGAATAATAACTGCAGGCAAGTGATGGCAAATATTTCATTTCAGCCAGGGCTTCCTTGCGTATTGCTTTATGTTCACTTTAAACTCTTGGCCATCATCAAGAAATAAACTAACAGAAACAGTAAAAGTGACCTGAGTGCAGGATCAGGAGATTCTAGAACTCAGGCACAAGTTTAGGGTCAAGCCGGTGCTGTCCTCCAAAACTAACTAATCATGTTGCTCACTATTTATAATGGTTCTGAATAGGGGTAAATAATTTTTTTCACAATACTGAGAAACTGCCAGTCACTAATCGAATAGCTCCCTTTCAAAAAAATAATTCCCCAGTAAAATTAAGTTCTGTGCTCTCCCAGTAGAGCAATATTTCAAAGTGGAATTAGAGAATTCCTTTTAGCATAGTCTGAAAAGTAGACAGCTGCAGACCAAAAGTGATCTTTAGAGAATTAGATGACCAAAAAACAAATTCATGGAACAGTTGAAACACCATGAAATCCTTGATGCTGAGATTGGTTTGCTTGAGGTGTTTCATTCAACTAGGTTTACTTAAGATGGTCTGGAGGGTTCTCCAATTTTGAATTAACGCCAGACAAAAAAAATCACACAGAAAAACAATATGCTAATCAAGGAACAACCAAGAAGAAAACCACATTGCTACCAACATTGGCAGGGAAACTATTGTAAATAAACAGGGAACAAACCTCACACTCACAAGCTCTGATGATGTTACGTAGTTAGGTAATGAAATATCTGAATTGCGAGCAAAAAAACAAGCTCAAAGAACACCAACTCAGCTGTTCAATTCTGAGCTACAAGTATTCTGTTCTGTTGGAAAATGGAACATCACCTGCATAAGCATGTAGTAAATCCCAGCCATACCATGGGCTGCCCCCACATACTGTTTCCGATGCCACTGGTACAGCAATGGGCACCGCTCCGTCTTTCGTTCTTCTCTGGAAAAGTTTTTTCCCGATTCAATGATGGATTCCACAACCTTATGCAGACAGAGGAGGAAAAAGAACAATCTAGAAGTACATTGTTCTTTTAATTTAATTATTATTTTTCCTAAACAATGCAAACATATTCCTGTAGTACTTGTCTTCTCTAAGAAGCTCCTTGGATACAAAGGAATCAAGTCTAATCTCAGATAGCACTTGAGATTTCCTAAAGTATCATGCCATTGTTTCTATATAATGCAATATTTTATCACCCACAAAATCACTTTTATCGCCAAGCTAGAGGCAATACAAAAATATCTAAATTTGTTGGAATTACGATACATTACCTATTCAGACAGCACTCTTGCTATCACTAATTTCCTTCATTTTTGGACTACTTTAAAACATTTGAAAGGTTTATCTTGTTATTACTAGTTTTTGTAAGTTTACAAGAAGGCTAGATGCTGGAAAACAAGGCTTATTCATCTTTGATTAAGAACCCCTCCATAGTAATACAGTAATACATGGGATCTTTTGGTTTATATTCTATAATTTTCTGAAAACTACGCATTCTCCTTTCCTGCTCTTTAAAGCTGATATCAAGTTAGACTATTGCTTTAACTTCACCATTACCATTGACACTAATAGGGAGTATTTCCAGGTTTCAAAAGGCAATGTGGACATTTCCATGAGCTACATTATGTCCTTTGGTACACATTATGTCCTTTGATACTGTGCACCCCAAAAATACACTGCAACAAAAAACCAGACACCCATTCTACCAGGGATGGGATGCATATATTTTTACTACCATTTCTGTGGGTGTGGCTAGTGGGCACGGCCATGGGACTGGATGGGCGTGGATTCTTTTTCTTTTTTTGCAACACCCACCCGCGCTCCGTTTTTTTTGTGCCTCCTGGACCTCAGGGAAGCCTCCTGGGAGCAAAACCAGGTTCAGGCCCAGGAGGCAAAAAAACAGAGCGCGGTGTTTGTGTGTATGTGTGCAGCACCCCCCCCCCTCGCACACCCCTTTTTGCCTCCTGGGCCTCAAGGAAGCCTCCTGGGCGAAGCAGTAGAACAGTGAGGGGGATCTTGGCACAGCTGATTGTCGGAACAGCTGATCATCAAAACAGTTGATTGTTGGGAGGGAAAAAAAAGAAAACAAAAACTGGTTCGGCCAAACTGGTAGAATACCACCACTGCATTCTTCCAAAGAAGAAGAATGGCAGAAAGAGGATAAAGTGAAGACAGCCAAGAGGGAAGTCGCACCCCCAGGAACTATATCTGTCTTTCTCTTCTACCTTCTTTGGGAATACATAGGCATGGACAGCAATATCATGTGGGCACTGCCTTAGATCAATTGAATTCCAAACATTTAGAGGCAAAATTGATACTTTAAAGTAAAAAAATAAGTCTGAAGTGGATGGCTGTGAGAGATTTGATGTCTTAAGTCAACCGAAAAAAATGAAAAACAACTCCTCTCCTGATTGCTTCTGGACTGCGGGTTTAAAATAAAACATTTAGGAAAAGGCAAAGAAAGATTTGGGTGAATAAGGCATAGTTCAGCACAATAAAACTGCTGTGGTGGGACATATAAAAAAGAAGAGAGGAACTGCAAGAACTAAGCATTATATGAACATTTAGAAATATCCTCCTTTCCAAAGCAGATAATTCAAGTTGATCTCTCTGAAATATCACTGAAAGAAAAAATATACAAAAAGTATACAATGGATTTAAGAGTACATTTGTAGGACAATGTCTACAACATTTAAATTGAATTATGCAATTAGGCAAATGATGTAAATTAATACAAATGTCAATTTGTGATTATGCAAATGACATCAGGCTTTAGGAAAAGTGGGGTTTTTATTCTTTGGAAACTGAAATCCCACATACAAAGACAGCTGAATGGTACAGAATCAAAGTTTATTGTATTTCCCTTACCTCTTTGATTACTGATTGTGGCACTGTCTCAGGATCAATTTCAGTATTCAAATAAAGCAAAGCATACAGGTAACCAGATCTTCCATAAAGCAACTCATCTGGAAGGTCAGAATCTGAAGCAAGGACTATTCGCTGGAGCTGCAAAAGTCTGTACAAACCAGAATTGAAAAAAATATGCAATAGAACTCTCATTTTTACATTAAATCTCAGATGTGATTATGGAATGTGTTATTGTACGTCTTCATTTGACTTCTATTCACATTACGTAGGATATGTCCTAAAATGTCACAGATGATGCAATCCATGTAAAAGTGGGAGGTGCTTCTGGAGTTTTTAGAAGCTTCCTCACAGATGCCCCTGGCAGCCAGATCTTTTGAAAGACAACTCTACTGATTCCAATCTCATTTATTTCCGATGAAGCGTGTTTATAATATCATCTCTATCATTCTTTGCTTCTGTTTCATAAAACTCCCCAATCTTATTATTAGGACATGAAGAAGTTTCGTGTGACAGTGAGATGTTATTTGCAAAAGTATGACAGTGATTAATTCACCACTAAGCATGGATTAGCAGACAACTGATTAACGTTCTAAATATAAACATCAATAGAAGAGTGGAATCCCTGTGAGCCAATCAACCATCCAATATAGAGGCAAGAAAGAATATAAAGAATGCAAACATCAAACATTTTGTGTTTATAACTCTTTAAACATGACTGTTGTCAATTTCAAAGTAAAGGAATGACAGGAAGACTTTCCAAAAGCCTCAAGACCAGAATATTACTTTCCAGAATACTTTAAAAAATTAGAATAATTAAATTAAGATATACATACAAAATTAAAATAGGTCATTATTTAGCACAGGAAAAAGGACAACATGAGGACATAGTGCTCTACAATCATCATTTGACAGAGAGATTACTGGGAGTGCTTGCCAGTAATCATCTGCCTGAAACAATCCAAAAGGCAGTCTTATACCAAGGAATACTTAGTTGACCTAGTCTTTTTGTCCTAATCAATCTCAGTCACTCACTTGGTCACACATTCCTTGGATTCACTATCATTTTTCATCTTGTGGTACACAACTGCTCCCACTGCTAAAGGTCCAGCATCACCACAAAGAAACGTAACTCTTCTTCCATTCAGATTACGTAGGATTCTCTTCACATAATCCAGGGATCTCTGTAGGTGAGTCGGCTCCTTCGTCACACGATATAGCTGAAGATACAAGAGGGCTATGCCTGAAATTGCCATACAAAAAGGAAGATGGAAGACTTAGTTGGTGGTTTTCTCTACACTTCTGATCACATATCTGTGATCTAATATGTAATACTGGAGGCATCATTCATGTACACATCTAAATCCAGTAGTTTAACACATGTTAAGAAAGAGGCCTACTATTGAAGTATTACATGGCATAAATACAATTCTTTACAATTTTCTATTCTTTTTTCCCCTTACCCTTTTTTCCTCTTCTCTCTATAATTCTCTAGTGCTCTTTTTGTAAGAAACTGTAAGAGTTGGATTTTGCTAAAAGACTAAGAGAATTACCTGAATCAGTTTCAATGCTGATATATTGTGGACATTAATCACTCATATTACCACAATCTGGGCCAATTGGAAATTCCACATACTTTTCAAGTTCGACCCTTGTAAAGGTGCAATTGTAGAAAGGCATACTTGATGTTAGGATGTGTCACCAACATCATGTCAATCTTCCCCAGAAAGGGATGCAATTGGTTATTAGCCAAAACTAATCGAAACCCCCCTTGTGGGGATCCCAGATAAAAATAGGATTTTTATGGAAAAGTTCAGTCTCATCCAGAAGAGGGTTGAGCACATATAAGACCTTGATGCCACAGTGGTTAGAATGCAGTATTGCAGCCAAATTCTGCTAATTGCTGGCTGCTAGCAGATTGGCTCAGCAGCTCAAGGTTGACTCAGCCATCCATCCTTCCAAGGTGGGTAAAATGAGAACCCAGACTGTTGGGGTCAATATGCTGGCTCTATAAACCATTTAGAGAGGGCTGGAAAGCACTATGAACTGATATATAATCGAAGTAATATTGCTATAATCACCAAGACCTCAGATTTGTTTGAATTTATCTTTAGATTGTTCTCCAGTATCAGACTATTACAGACTAAAACATCTACAATGGAAACTCCTGAAACAGCCTATCTTGAACTTTCAGGAAAGAAGTGCAATTGGGAATCATTATGTACTGATAAAGCTGACTGCATATCTATGGATAGTTTTCATAGATATTAAATAATGGGGAACAAGATTAACTATGCAGTATTGTCTGCATAGTTGCAACTGTCACAGGACAATTCCTAAGGAGGTCAAATTGATATCTGCCAAGATCACCTTCTGATAGCATTGTAAAAAGGAGAACCAGTTGAACTCAAGCTGTTCAGATAGTCAGGGGCATCAACAGAGTTCCAATTTCTCTGTTTCATTTTCACTTCCTGATGCATTTTGTCTATTAGGCCTATCAAACCCAAATGGGAAAATGCACTGGCTTCAAAAGATGGCAGTGCTTGTTCGTTCAGAAAATAAGGACTAGGCCTCATTAATACTTGAAGGGAATACCTGTAAAAATATCCCGTAAATGGAAGTCACTTCTGTATTACTGTCAAGAAAATTACCTGGGTATGTGTACAAAATTATCAAGTCTTTGACTCAAAGAAGACTTTATTTCAATCCACTGACTTCCATTACTCTAGATCAACATGTCTAAATTGGTGTTGTTCAGAAACAAAAATACAGTAGAATAATGGAATGGAATAGAATGGAATGGGATAGAATAGAACAGAACAGTACAGTTCTTTATTGGCTAAGGTGATTGGATACACAAGGAATATTCCAGTGTATATGCTCTCAGTGTACATACAAACAACAAAACGGTAAGTCATAGATTATAAAGATAGTCATAAATCATGATACAAACAAGTGATAAATCATAAGATATCAATAAGAGAAAGTAGTAGGTAAGATGATAAGAAGGATAATAGCAATACAGCCCTATTACATGGATAAATATCTTTAGGCAGTGCTGTGGAAATTAGGGGTTTAGTAGTGAGATGGCATCGGGGAAAACTATATTTGTGTCTAGTTGTTTTGACATGCAAATGCCAAATGTTGTCCCAGTACTTATCATTTATTTGGTACTATGAGATAGGAAAAGAGGGATTGCTATGGAGAATGGACAGGAAGTCAGCTATGCTGGGAAAGTCGCTGACATAGGAAACGGTACAGGTAGGAGCCAACACAAAAGGTCATGTAATTTGTTTGGCACACATCATTTTTAGTACTCATCGAGCCTCCCAGAACCAAGTAACAGTGAGTATTAGGTACCACTGAATTTTGTATCACTGAAGAGAAATATGTGAGCAAATAATGCATTTTGCTAAATCATCTTATTTATTGAAATACAATTAAAATGCAAAATTGCTTTTTAGATTTAAATTAAACAGGTTAAAAGAGGAAAGCTATATGTGTCCTTTATTACAAAAATATCGATTCCCAATTCAATTAACTAGCAATGGTCCTAGCTTGTCTCACAAGACCTATGGCTACACAATGGGTAACAACATGTATATATCATGCTGAGCTTCTCCAAGGAGAAGATGGACAAAATGAGTGGGGGGGGGGGAAATCCAAAATAAAAGTAATATGAACAGATTTATATTTAATTCACATAAAGCTCCAAAAATATTTTAACACAATGTTGTATTTAAATGTTCATTTTTAAAACTAAGGCTTAGGAGACTTAGGCGACAGTCTCCTAGGAGACTGATACGATTCCTCTTTATTTCTTATTGTATGCCAAAGTTTGAATTCTTTCATCATGATTCAGGAATGAATCAGCAGTGAACTACCTGCACCAGAATTTTGTTCTATTGCATTTCTAAAAAAAAAAAAAAGGCAAGTGAGAGGCAGCAAAAATTTTAAAAAAGCATTTCACCAGCTTTCGGCTGTTTCCATTTTTTAAAGCAAACAAATCACAAATGCTACAATTTTGTCACCTCTCCTCCTCCAGAGCCATCTGCCTAGAACGCTTTGCATCCTCCAGAGCCATTAAGAAGGAACAAGCTGAAAAATACTGATCCCTTTTAATAACAGAGAGTGGGCTAATCTGCTTTCAAATTTAACTTTTGTTTGGGACAAAACCAAAGAAATGAATGTTCTCTCCAAAATGCCAGCTTTTCAGGTCATTCCCTGAGCTAATCCTTGCAAGCAATCTCTGGACAAGGTCATAGAGAGTAGGGAGAAACAGCTCTCCAATGGTGGTCTGAGCAACCAGTTTTAGGGACTGCTCCTTAACTGTTTATACCACAGAGGATCATTATTACAATTTATCCAAATCAACAATTACTGCCCAACTCTGTTCTTTTGTTTTGCTCACATATTCCTTTTTTACAGAAAAAATTAGTTTATTCAAAAAAGATTAAAATACAAAACACCAAAATATTTTTAAAAAGAAAAAAGAAAAGAAAAAGACTAACAAAATAGGTATCTTAAAAGAAACGAACACAACATACACCTAACATCCTCCCTAGAATATTTTTTAGTGTAATACAGCAATGTTGATTTTCCCTCCCTTGCATAACAGGCCAAAATAATTTCAAACTGTTCAAGTACTAACACTATTTACAAATTATTGGCCTGTCATTTATAAACTATATTAATAACAAAATGGTTAACAGTTAACACAATAATAATAAATATATTATGTAAAAGTATAAGAATAACAGAATAATAAAAATTGTAAACAGTAATAAGAAAAAAACAGAAGTTGAAATCTCAAAACCCTCTGTTAACAAATGATTACTGTGATCAACTCACAGAATATTTATCATGGCTTCCCAATCATTCCAAATATTAACCCTAATTGATCCTGGATCAAATGTCCACTTTTCCTTCTTTATAACATCTCTTATCAATTGCTGATTGATTAAATACAATAAGTCAAGTCTCCAAAGCCAATCTATCTTTCACAGATAAAATTATTTCTCAATTAGATGTCATTGTCGTCATCATCATCATCATTTTAGTCATTATCTATCCATTGCAGGATTAAATCTTCTTCAGCATGTTTCCAGTTAGATATATGAAGTCTATTTCCCATTTTTCTTAAAAAAACTTCTTAAAAACTCCTTAAAAAATATTTGCCACTCACTCACCCAGAAAATTATCTGCTATTATATAAAAGCAGTTTTAAGCTTTCACTAGGTGTATGTAGTCAGCTCTATGATTTCTGACTTTTTTCCTGGCCAGATTACATTATGTGTGTGCTAAAACTGGACAGATCACAGATTAATTTAAATATTCTCCATTCTTTAAATCTTTCGGTGTGGTCTGGACTCTTTAGAGCATTCCCACGGACCCAGAGAAAATTGTGCCACCATGACTAAATGTATTTCAAGCATGCATTAAAAGAAGGAAGAATTCTTGCCTCTATGTGATCAGACATTTAAAAATGTCTAAACATTTGATTTTCTGAATCAAATGTTTCTGAACTAAGAGAAGATGGCGATTCTAGAAATAGTGCAGTGATCAGTAACAAAGATTTAGGGGGATGGAAACTAAAACATACCAAGAATAATTGCAGGAATTGGGGTGACATGATAGCAGTGATCCAATATTTGAGGCAGTGGTGGAATTCAAATGTTTTTACTACCGGTTCTGTGGGCGTGGCTTGAGGCTCATGTGACTGGGTGGGCAGTTTGATGCTTATGTGACTGGGTGGGCGTGGCTGGGTGCTCATGTGATGGGTGGGTGTGGCCAACTTGACGTCACTCATGTCAAGGGGCACCTTGCCCGGCCTCTCCTCGCCTCAAAGAGATATAATTTCCCTGTCTATTTATTTACTACTACTGAACATCCAAAATACACTATTTAATCCTATGTATATATGCCATATGTGTACATACATATTACATAGTATAGAGTGTGTATAGGCACACAAAAAGATACATTATCTACTATATATACCAGTGATGGCGAACCTTTTCGGCACTGAATGACCAAACTGCAACCCAAAACCCACTTATTTATTGTGAAGTGCCAACATGCAAGAGCGGGATCGAACCGGTGTTACAACATGCATGAGGCCGTGTGCTGTGCACACAGCCATGTCTGATGAGCGCTGTGCACATGTGCACAGCATTTGCAAGGAATCATCGGCTGTGACGCCTGGACAGCTGACAAGCGCTGCGCGTGAGTGTACAGCATTTG